GTCAGAGGGGGCGGGGCTTAGCAGGTGGAGCCCTGACTCAGAGGGGGCGGGGCTTGTTGCCCTGACCTGGAGGGGGCGGGGCTTAGGGGGCGGGGCTTGACTCACCGGCTGCCCCTCCTCTTGGCCGGCGCCAGCGCCATCCAGGTCCAGCGGCTGCGCTCCTGGTCCTCGTACGGCTGATGCAGCTGCACGAAGGCGGCGTCCGTCAGGTCCTCCACCTGCAGGGCGCCATCAACGCAATCAGGACGCCATCAACGCCATAGACCGCCGTTAAGAACGCCGTTAGAACGCCATAGACCGCCGTTAGAACGCCATCAGTACGGCATTCAAAAGGACATTCAGGACACCATCAGAACTCCATTCAGGACGCCACTAAGAACGCCATCAGGAAGCCATTCAGAACACCATCAGAATGACAACAGGGCGCCATTAGAACGCCATTCATAACGCCATCAGAACGCCATCAGATCACCATTAGAACGCCACTAAAACGCCGTTAGAACGCCATCAGGACGGAATTCAGAACGCCATTAAACCGCCATCAGAACGCTGTTAAGAAAGCCACCAGAACGCCGTTCAGAAGGCCATTAAGAACGCCATCAGATCGTCATTCAAAACACCATTCAGACCGCCGTTCAGAACGCAATCAGAACGCCATCAGGACGCCGTACAGGATGCTATTAGAACGCCATCAGGATGATGTTAGAACGGCATTCAGAACGCTATCAGGACACCGTTAAGAACGGCATCAGGACGCCATTCAGAACGCCATCAGATCGTCATTCAGAAGGCCATTAGAACGCCGGTTTGAACGCCGTTTTTCCTGCTTTCCTCAAACTGAGTTTGTAGCAAATACTTTAATTCAGCACATTTATGTCTGAGTTTACAAAACAAACACGATTTTTCTCCTTTTTTTCTCCTTTAAACTGCAGATACTGAGCCTCAGATATCAGAGCTGTTCCCATCTGTAAAGGAGGCCTTGATTTAATTCTGATATAAATGGAGACTGATGTACATTAAAGGCTTATCCCTTGAGTTATACGTTATGTTTAGGAGTCTTTCGCCTCAGAAAAATGTCAAAATATAAGGCGGTTTCCATCGGAACAAATCGTTTGAATAATTCTTATCCAAA